CCCTAGCGGTTAGAAGTGCGCTCGGACAGTCAAGCCTCCTTCTACTTATTATTCATTCCTTCTGTACAAAATATACTATTACTACCCCTCTGGCTTTCCCATGACTTCTCTTCTCTAAGACAACCGGGGATCGTAGTGATTAGGGTTAAACTTATTAACCTTATCGATATCCCCATCTCCATGGCCTTTTTCTGAGTCAACTATCTGTGAAATTAGGCAGGCGTCTTTATGCTTTAACTGTAAAAAGCTAGGGATGCACCATGTTCAAAACAGGTTTGAACCGTTATTTAACCGCATTTTAAGAAATGCAATGATATGGTGGAAATGCAGGGTAGAATCGGTCAACAACATGCCTCTAAACCTGCTCTTCGCATCGTTGCATTTCCTCCAATACTTTTTACTTTGACAGAAACTTCCTTCATCATTATTATTATTTTATAAATAGTATTATCTATGCGGGAAGTTTTTGTCAAAGAACAAAGTATGTCATGTTTTCGCGGTTCAAGAGGCAATTTATAAAGGTGCCCGTCAGGTAAAACGCGAAAGACCCGCACCCGGGGGCTGGAATCATCATCGGAAGTTCTTTGGAGCCTTCTTCCTTCTTTCAAGACGGGGGGTTGTCTCACCCAGCAGAGCCGCGCGTGCCGCCACAATGCGTTTAAATGCCTCCTCACTGCCGGGATGACTGTTCTTATCCGGATGTAAGTTGAAAGCCAGTCGTCTGTAGGCTTTTATTATTTCCGCCCTGAGAAAGCGAGAGAAGAAGAAGGTTAGTGGCGCACATTTGAAATGTTGTTTGGTAGAACTGTCTTTAGAGGACCTAGTTGCCTTTGACTTATAATAATAAACTACTTTTACATTTTCAGTAGACCCAATTTTGTCTTCGTTAAATTCCGCCAATGGAAGGTCGAATTGCCATCAAGGGGTATCAGCTGCCTGAGCAACAGAAGTTTATAGTGATGGAGTTGATTATGGTTAGCTCATTAAAGCAATTATAAGAGGCTTTACTTTAATATTATTTGATCACTTTCAACATAACTAAATATTCATTTACACTCGTTAACTAAAGATTAAGTGTTCAACCACCAATTCCGTATGACAGTTGGACGGGGAGAATGGATATTTAGACGGCTCTACAAGACAGTTTTGCCGTTTTTAAAGACCTCACAGAGGAAAAACTGAATAAAGCCGCTGAGTGTATAAAATGCGAGAGGACGTTTTACTTTTAGAGTTATACAAAAAGTGCACGTTTATCCGACCAATTTTTTTCGTTGTCTGCGAGTATCACAGAAAGCATGGACCTAACGTTGCTAGAAATCTCACAGCCACTCTGAACTATTTGACGTAGTTGTTTCTTCGAACGGCATTTACCGGGTGCCAACCCTCGAGATTGGGTATGACTGGCTGATGACGGCTAATAAGC